GCTGAACCGGTTCAACACCCCCTACCCCTCGCACCATTCTCCCGAGGTTAGGAGAGCTTTGACCTAATTCGTCAAAGCTTCTGACTCCTTATATCACAACGTGAAGCCCCCTGGTAGGTCGATCATGCGGTGTTGTCATTCTGCAGCACATTTTTGTAGAATATGTATTCGTCCTCTTTTGACACTTCCTGAGCGGGAACTGCATATAGAGGTGGGTTCCTGCAATATAACTCTCGAGCCCTTAAGTTTGAAACCTTCTCCTTCCACTTCTCATTCTCATTGATGAACAAGTGTGTGAAAAGAAATCAATTATGGGATGAAATTTGTGGCAGACTGTGTCACTCTCACTAGTGAAGGAGGGATGTCTTCTATGACAGGGTCTGGATCCCATTAAAGAATTTTCTTCCTCCTCAAGCTCCTAGGGTACATTTCTAAGCTGAGGTTCACCTCTCTTGTGTGGACATCTACTGATGGCCCATTGAGCTAAAGCTAACATCTAAAATGCTCCCCGTAATGTTCCAAGCATAACACAAAATGACTCCTTTTCGGACATGTTGGAGCTCTCTCCGTAGGGACAACTCAGGAGGGGGTCTATAAAATCCGAAATATCAGCATTTCCCTTATTTGTGGTAACCCTGTATATGATGTTGGCTCTTCAAAACTAATAACCCTTGTAGACATCAAAGACCGGTCATACTGATTTTCCTCTCAAAGTCTGCAAAATACTAGCTCGAGACACCATAATCTCTTTCTCTGCTTGATTGCCCATTACCTCAGAGTCACTACTTTCTAGAGTTACGACTGTTACTTCAACTGAAATCTCTATCTCAGGGTCAACTGAAATCGGTGGCTTCTCTTTCTTGTTGGCTACAAGTGGAGAATCCTCTCTAACGTCTTCTTCTTTCGGACCACCGTGTCATTGCCCAATTTTTCATCAACACCCTACTTAGTGAAACAAATCTCTCCCATATTTGTGCATTCTGATTCCACATGTCCAAATCTGTGGCACTTGTAAAACTTTCTGACTGTGATAGATTTAGGGATGCGACCTTGTTCTCTACTCTGAATCTGTTTGTTCTTTAATAGAGTCGTTTTGGGTATTCTCTTGAGTGCACTCTGGCTATAAGATTCTGAGATTGACCTCTACCTGTAGGATGTGGGGGTCGCTCGGTGGTGTAGTTCTTCCATTTCTAAAGCTAGTTTGAAGTTTCTGTCTGTAGTAAGCTGGTAGGAACTAGTATTGTGTCTCCCACTTCATTCTCAGATTCTTTCGTTCTCCCCTTTGACTATTTAGATCACGTCGAGGGTAATCTCTCATTGGATTTCATCCTCAATATCTGTAAGCTTCCGCTGAAGCCGACGGATCTCCCGCTGTATCTCTTTCCGCGAAGGCTTGGGCATGTATCTATTTGTTGGCATAATTAGGACTTTGGGTTGGGAGGTGGAAGAGAGTGTAGGAGACCCGTTGAGGTGTAGGAAAAGTAATTTATGGTTGTTGATTTTGACTCAACTGTGGGAGTTAGGGTTAGGTCAAAATTTTGGATAGGGTTTGACAATAAGAAAGAAAAATTTTGGTGGTGGTGGCTTGGGTAGGGCGGATGCTAAGAAATCCTAGGATGAAACTAGGGTTGGGATAGCTCTGATATGAAATGATATCAAAGGAAAAACTCAAACCACAAATAAAATGCGAATAATATTATTGTTGAATTTTGATAGGGTTACAACAACACATACGATAAAAGGAAATAACAACAAATACACAACACAGACCTAATTTGGGCTAAGGAGAAGGAGATCGTTGGGTGGTAGAAAGGAAGGGAGGGGTATAATTGGCATGGTAGAAGGGGGTGGAGTGTTGGCGGTACAATAGGAATGGAAGTGGGGGCTACGGCTTCGACTTGCTGCAAGTAAGTGTAGCGAGATCTATAATAGGTCTGGGAGGTGATTGACAGCAGCCTGTTTGTTGTCTAGGACCGACAACATCAACACACAGTCATAAAGAAGGCAACTGACGTAGGACTTTGAGGGGTGTGAGGACAGTTGGGTATTGGGATGCAAGGTGACAACAACAGGTAAACCGTTAGATGGATTTGTAGCACAGCTGGCAGTAAGGATGAGACTGTGGCAACAACAAGTTGGCCATAGAAAGTCTGGAACTGATGGCTGGAAGCATACAAATGTGAGAAAAGCCGCTAGTGGCTAGGAGGGGGGGTGGTGTGGAGCTGCTGCAGCAGCGACAATAACTGAAAGGGAAAGAAACACATAATCTCAGGATGAGTTATACCGGAGCACCTTCTTGCCTGATACAATCCTAGAAAGGGAGAAGAGAACGCTGGTGATGCCAATCAGGAAGGACGGAAATCAGACTGCTAAATTAGGTGTTTTTTATAATTAGGAGCTTCCTTATTTAAATTATTTCCAATATCTTTATTCTGATTTATTTTCCTTCAAGCATTTATTTTCCTTTTAGCAGAATATTTAGGTTAGGAATATAAATTATTAAGTTACCCTAAAATAGATTATACAGAATATTTGTACCTAAACTAGATTGTAAGATTATTATTTAATGAAATGAAAACAAAAGGAAAAGACATCGAGCCTATTCAAAATTCAACTTATTTTTCTCAAAACTTTGACATGATATCAGAGTCAGATTTTTGCCCTAACCATCCATAGTCGTTGGAGGACCGCCAAGACTCCCTTCCCTCCGACCTTGCGGGACGGGAAGGGAGGAACTATTTCTTCCATAGAGACCATAGTAAGTTGGCTGCGCATCCTCGTGCGCAGCATCACCGAACTTTGCCCATGCCCGACACTCCAAAGCACGCTTGCTAAGCCTCGCGCACACAAGCTTGCTGATGCGTGTCATGGTTGTGATCTTAACATTGTTTCCATCATCGTTGAACTTGTACTCAGTCACCTTCTTCACGCCGTTCTCATCGGGTCCAATTACCATCCTCGATGGAAGATAGAAATCCATGTCTTCAGCGTCATCGTTGAGTTCTCCCTAGCGGAACTTGCTTGCAGATGCTTGGCCGATGTCAACCGCTATCTCCGACGAAGAAAACAGTACACCCAAATCACCAAAGAAGTCGCCGACGTGGAACTCGTCGACTAGAACGGAAAAATCAAATCCTTGATCTTAAGCTTCGATAATCTCGGCTTCGACACTCCTTCCTAGACCCACGACTTCGACATCTCAGCTTCAACACTTTTGGCGTGAAGATCAATGAACAAATCGTCCTTGTCGTCGCCGGAAGAATCAATAGCATTTGGATCGTATAGCAGGACACAGATCCTACTTGCGGGCTATGATTAGTAACATTTGGATCAGGATGTGAATCCTACTTGTAGGCTATGAACGATAGCATCTGGATCGTGTAAATGGATCCTATTCGTGGGCTATGATCGGTAGCATTTGGATCAGGTCGCGGATCCTACTTGTAGCTATGATCGATAACATCTGGGTCGTGTAACTGGATTCTATTTGTGAGCTATGATCGGTAGCATTTGGATCAAAACGTAGATCCTACTTGTAGACTATGATCGATAACATCTGGATCCTATTTGTGGGCTATGATCGGTAGCATTTGGATCGTGTAACTGGACGTGGATCATTCTTGTGGCTATGATTCGAATTTTTGGACGACAATAATAAAGGATTTTTTGTTTTTCTTTGCTGAAATCATGTTATGGTTCAGGAGTTGTCTCTTCGGCTTCGACATTCATGGCTTGAGGATTTTTATTGAGGATTTTTTGTCCCGACAATGTTATCAGCTTCTTATTGACAAATTGATGCTTCCTGATCAGTCAGCATCAATTTGAGAGGAGATGTCAATCAGGAAGAATAGAAATCAGTCAGCTAAATTAAGAGTTTTCTATAATTAGAAACTTAATTATTTTCAATGTCTTTATTTTGATTTATTTCTCTTCTAGCTGAATATTTAGATTAGGAATATGTATTATTAAGTTAACTAAAATAGATTATACAAAATATATGTTCAACTCGACCCTCTTTCCAACGCCGCATATACCTCTGCTCATCTGACTGGCGCTGTTCATGATGGGAAATTTTCTGATGACCCTCCTATTCAATTCTTTGTTGTTTCAGATGAAGACCATCATACTCAAGCCGTTCTACCCCTGGATGCTCTTGCTTTTGAACACTCTATTCCAGCTGCTGGATTGGAGCATGGTACTCTGGAGTCTCATGAAACATCTCCCCATACTACTACTACTGATCCAAATGTGTCTATACCACTCACTGTTATTGAAGAAGACCCACTTACGTGCCAAGACACACGAGATTACTCATTTGATCCAATAAAAGATCAGTTGGTACAACAAGTAGATGCTTCCAATGTTCAACAATCTACACTTGTCCGACACACTTTAAACCCATCCACTGATCAGATGAGCCGGTCATCAGATGAGGAATGACGAGTCTATTCTAGGAGGAAGAAGAAGAATGGAGGCTGACTAGAGTTCAGGAACTTATTGGACGATACACTGGTTACTACTAGCAATGACACTCATCTTATCAATTCGTTAGCTGACTTCTTTCCTAGAACTAGAGGCAGAGACAAGACAACATTAGGTTGCTCTCTAGCTACCTGATACTACGTGTTTCGACACTTTTGATTTTTGGGCTCTCAGGTATTTTTTTTGTATTTTTTTTTTCTGGAACCACCGTGTGGGTAGGGTGTTATGCTTGGGCCCTCTTATACAATATATCTGTATCTTCCTTTCAGTTTAATATATTAGCCCTTGAGCTTTCTAATATATATATATATAAAGCACAAGGGCAATTTTATTAAGGAGAAAGAGGTACAGATAAGTTGTATGAGTGGACCCAAATAAACACCCAACCCATACGGTACAACACACAAAAAGAGAAAGAAGAAAATTAAAAACCCAAAATATATCCCGTAGAAAATTTTATTGCATCAAAAAATAATTACAAGGGGATAGTGGCCACCAGTTCCAAACTAAAACCCACACTTATAACACACACACATATATATATATATTGTTTATATGCATGTATGCATATTTAACATAATTCATTTAAACTCATACATCAAGAAATTGTCTTACGTTTGCATATTACTAGTGTTGTTTTCAGCTTTTTGTTGTATGTCATGTTGTTTTCATCGAAAAAAGTAGTTAAAACTTAGATAAAATGTAGTGCATTCAAACATAGTTAAGAACTTGTTTTGAATTTTTTTTGTTTTTTTATTTTTTTATTTTTAAAAATATATTTATTTAGTGTGTCTTTTACTTGCTTTTATTTTTTATTTTTAAAAATAAATTAATATTTTTTAAAACACTCAAAATAATTTTTAGAAATTCTGAGTGTTTTTAAAAGCAGCCATACTATAATCAAATACAGATCATGTTTTATTTTAGATCAAAATGTAAACATAATACGATAAAAACAAAAATATAAAATAAAAAAAAAAGTGATCTCAAATGGCTATTTTGTTTTTAATTTTCTATGTTTGTTTTGTTTATCCTTTGATCCGAAATAAAACATGTTTGGTTATTTTATTAAAGTATAGTTATTTTTAAAAACACTTGAAATATTTAAATGTTGTTTTGAGTGTTTTTAAAAATATGTAAATTTGGTTTTAGAAACAAAAAATAAAACATGTAAAAAACAAACTAAACAAACTTATTTTTAAAAATAAAAGAAAAAATAACATTGTCCCAAACAAGCCCTAAAACTGTAGTTTGTGTGTGAATTTGATGGCTGGACGCAATCCAATTTGCGTTATTGCCTCTTTGGCTTGTTGCACAGAATGCTGAGATGATCCCAGATGATTATGCTTCCATCTAGCAACTGCAGTTTTTTTTTTTTGGATTGTGTCTGAATTGGATGGCTGGACGGATTCCAACTTGTGTTACTTCCTCTTCGGCTTGATGCACAGAATGCTGTGAGGATCACCCCAGATGATTATGCTTCTATCTAACAAGCTTAACCAAACACTTTTGCATTGTAGAATGAGACTTTCAGAAGCATTTATTCTAAAAAACTTGAACCAAATTAGCCCCACAAAGTCACTGCAGTACAAATAGCATATTTGATACGATTTTATAAGGTGGAGGGAATGTTTTTTAATTTTTATATATAATTCTGACAGTATCCAGCTTAGATTTTCTACACATAATGATAGGCTGAGTTAAATAATCTTGCGTGTGTTATGTAATGCTAAATTCTGTGCAAACTGTTCATGTGCTGCTGTATCTTTCAACAATCTTATTCAAAGGTCAAAGGAGTGTTCATTGTTGTGACGTGCTTGCTTTTACAAGTTCTTTTCTATGTTTTCTTTTCCCTTGTCCTTGTTTGTCAGTTTCAGGGTCACATTGGCAGCTTTAAGAAGTAATTTGATTTTCACCTTTTGCAGATATGAAAAAGACATGCTTGCTTTTACAGGTTGTAGCTATAATTTGACAACAAATGAAGACAAGGAACTTCGAGAAATGCGTTATAATGTGGTCCATTGGAAGGACAAGGTTATTGATGGTTTTGGGAAACGAAAGCAGGGTGGTTGCCCTTTAACTCCTAGGGAAACATCCCTTCTCCTCAAAGGATTGGGATTTCCATCAAGCACACGTATATACTTGGTGGCTGGTGAATCCTTTGGACTTGGAAGCATGAAGTATCTTACCGATGATTTTCCAAACATCTACTCTCATTCAACCTTATCTAAAGAAGAGGATCTTAGACCTTTCAGAAATCACCAGAACATGCTTGCTGGGTTGGATTACGTTGTTGCTATTCACAGTGATGTTTTTATTTACACATATGATGGAAATATGGCAAAGGCTGTGCAGGGTCACAGGCGGTTTGAGAACTTCAAAAAAACAATAAATCCAGATAGGTATCTCCTTCTTCACTCCCTTCTACATTATTTTTCACATTTGTATTTTGGCTTATGGTTGCATTTGTATACCTCCAGAAGTTACTAATTACTCTTCTACCTAGTTTTCTTTCTAAGTTTGCATAGATTGTAGCAATACCGCCAAAAGGAATTTGTTCGAGAAAAAAAAAAGCACTCAGTATAGGAGAATTGTTTGATGCCAATTTGATGATAGGATGTTGTGGATCCGCTCTTGGTTTTCTTTTTCTTGATTTTCTTGAAATTGACTTAATTTCTATCTTATGTAGTAAATGGTGCAAGGGAGTTGAAGATATTTAGTATTATAGAAGAAAAAAGTGGAGGGATCTTTTGTTGTATATATTATTATTAAATGGGTACTTTTCCAATTTGAGAGTAAAATATTGGGAGGGATGGAGGGAAAAATTACTCCCATTTTTTAGAAAGAGAGATAGATAATCAAACGAAAGTTTAATTTTAATTCATAATTAAATAAAAATTTATGTGTATGCACCAGAACTACCAACACGAATCTAAAAAAAAACAACTGACCGGGGGTAAAAAGCTTCCCTCTGAGGTAAGCGACGACCGAAAATTCAAAGCCAAACATGAGAAGCCGCGTCTTTAAACCCGGAATGGGTCAAAACTCTGGAGATTTTTTCCCGCTCGATAGCGACAAGATCTGCCAAAAGTGAGACGCAAATCATCTCGGCAACGAGTCTCGCCGGATAGGCAGCGACAAGACCCAAGGCCTTGCGAAAGGGAATATCCGACTGAGGCTCACATAAGCAGCGACAAGATCCACCCAAGGCCTTGCGAAAAGGAATATCCGACTGAGGCTCGCATAAGCAGGGGCAAGATCCGCCCAAGACCTTGTGAAAGGGAATATCCGACCGAGGCACCTAACCGACCAAGACAACGAAGACTCAAACCCTGTAAGACTTGGGCTAAGTGACAAACGAGCCACGATTCACCAGATGAAAGAAATTGACCCATCAGTCGACCGACCGACCAGGGCGCAGGCGAGAACCCTCAACCACTGTTAACTGGCCGATCCACTTTTCGCCAAGACGGATGAGATCAACTCTCGATAGGATGTCTCGGCCAACCAACACAAGACAAGGTCGTCGCTCAGTCGGTCGTCTCAACTATCGAAGTCTAGCTAGTCGACCGATAAATTACCACCATGTTAGAATTCAAACTGCAATACATATATGATATAAAGTCCATATAATTAATCAGAGCATTAATTTTATTAAAATCATTTTTCATAACCGTTCCCTTTTCCTATAAATAACAAACAAAAAGACGATCAAAGGGGAGGTAAACCGTTTGAACTCTCCCTCGGTTCCCTCAACAGTAAAGTCTTGACTCACTCTACTTTTCTCTTCTTCATTCAACAATAACTCTCGAGACGTGTTCACAAAGAGACAATTTGAGATTCAAAATCCTGAAATGTGGTGTGGTGAGAGTGGACATGCCTAAACAAAAAACAGAGCTAACTACGAAGGAGAAATATCCCAAAGCGAGATAGCACACATGGAACCAAATGGAGACGCTATGCAACCAGACATCCTTGCGCAGGTCCAGAGCTTATAAGCACAAATGACCCTTATGATGGAGCAATTTGAGGTCCTCCACGCAACAATCACTTAGAGGAACGACCAGACGCCTCGCTTGGAAGCGAAAACCCCAAGGGGTTCGTCCCCAAAGGCTCCCACTAGGGAACCTACCTTTCTTGCACAATCAGGTCAGCAACCAACAAACAGAGGGACAAGGCGAGTCCCAACACACCGACACTGCTGTATCTGCGCAGACGAACAGACGATGGGAATAATGGATGTGAGTGCCTTTTCGATCGCTCGCAGGAGGGGCCTTTACTCACCAAATCAAAGAAGTGATACCTCTGCCCAAGTTAAGGATTCCTTGCCTGGATTCTTACAAAGGAGGTACCGACTTGATCGACCACGTCGCGTCGTTCGAATCATCCGTCAGTCTGCTCTAGATTAACGACCCTATAATGTGTCATCTCTTCTTAGCCACCTTGAAAGAGTCATCTATTCGGTGGTTCTATGTTATGCCGACCAAAACCATCCCAAGTTACTACGAGTTTAAGAGACTCTTCGTTTCGCACTAATGTGCATAAGCTGAGGAAAGACTCAAACACCCTGCTCGATCACAAAGCAGGGAGAAAATGAAAGCCTACAGGCCTACATCACCCGCTTCTAGAATGAGATGCTGGAAGTTAGAAATCTGAAGTCGGAAATAGCCGGAACAACTTTGAAGCGAGGAGTCCGAAGCAAGCGATTCAGGTATGACTTAAATCCGCTTAAACCTACTAGTTTTTCAGAAGTATTGGAGATGGCGAACGAGTACACATTCGTCGAAGACCTCCAGGGCTCTTCGAAGGGTAAGTAGGGTTCGCCCAACCATCCCTCGAAGAAGCGGAATGAACTAGTCGAACCGCGGAAAACAAATGATAATCATTCCTCCGCTGGTAACCGAAATAAGAAATTTCAATCTCGGGATTATCGAAGGAATGACCGAGGGAACCATGACCGAAAACAATGTTTTGATCAACAATCAGTTGAATATTACGAGTGACCGCATGTTTACAGAAAAATGCAAGGTTTGACACCCTCAACGTATCAATGGCTGAAATAGCCTAGACCATCCAAAACAAGTACTACTTCAAGCATTCTTAGCCACTGAAAAAAGCCCCGACCTTACGAGATTCAAAGAGATACTGCCAATACCATCGTGTCCATGGTCACGACACTGAGGAATGCCTTCACCTACGGAACTTAATCAAAGAACTCATCTGCGCCGGGAAACTTAGAGTTTGTTGAGGTCGGAGTGCGCACACAGCGACAGGGTAAACCGGTGGCAGGAGATCTCTCAAAAGGACCTGTTTGGGCGAACGGGATTCACGTAGCAGGAATAATCCCGCCATCTTAAGGGGGGGACCGTGACCCTCCGACTTAAAGTGACAACGCTCATGAAAGGTATTCTCCATCATCCCTTAAACACGGTAACCTTTTACCAATTGTCTTCACAGATGCAAATCTCACCGAAGGGGAAACCCTACTATGAAGCGATCGTTGTCACGATACTGATCAACAAATGCTGGGTTGGCATTATTCTCGTCGACACAGAAAGTTCAGTGAATATTCTGTTCAAAATAATGTTCGATAAGATTGGCTTAAAAATCGTTCGGTTGACAATATCGGTTAGACCGTTGTTCGAATTCTTCGAAGAAAGGATGGAGGCGCTGGGCCTCGCCCTTGCCATCTCTTGGGGAGAATCGGGGAAGCAGTATAACTACACAAAAGATTTCCTCATAGAAGAGTCTCAGCCGACCTATAATGCTATCTTCGGTCGGCCACTCTTAAACAACTACCGAGCTGTGACTTCTACCTACCATGTGACAACAAAGTTGCGAAGCGACGGGGAAATAATCATGATTCGGGCAAACTTTGAGTAGTCTAGAAGCTACTATTTGCGAGTGGTTTTGAGTATCGACCATGAACCACTCGACATCCATATCAAGATGGAGAGGGGTCTTGAGACCCGTGAGGCCGTCCTTCAGGTACCTGTTTCCAACGAAGAACTTGATACAGTTTTCCTAATCAGTGAACATTTTGATACTGGATCTAGGAACTAGCTGATAAAGACGCTTCGGGAGCACCGAGAAGTGTTTGCTTGGATCACGACAGAAATGCCCGGTGTTTCAATCGACACAGCATGCCACTGGTTGAACATCAACCTCTACTCTTGGTTATTCCAACAAAATATTCGATTGATTGCCAGAACTTTGACCGAACCAATAGGGGCAAAGGTACAAAAGTTGTTAGAAGCGGACTATATTCGTGAAGTCCATGCCCAACTTTGCTTTCGAACGTTTTCACGGTCAAGAAAGCCAACGACAAGTAACGAATGTATGACGATTTCACCAAGCTTAACGCCGCTTGCCGAAAGGACACCTACCCCTGTTGAAGATTAACACCTTGGTAGACATAGCGGTCGAATACTCGGTGATGAGTTTCTTTGATGCTCTCTCCAGCTATCACCAGATAAACATGCTCGATCGACGCAGAGAAAACGACATTTGTTACTGCATAAGACATATTTTGTTTTAATTTAATGCCCTTCGGGCTAAAAAACACTGGGGCGACCAATCAGCGCCTCATGAGTGTAATTTTTTCTAATAAAAAAGGAAAGAACATTGAGGTGTATGTTGATGATATTCTAGTAAAAAGTAAATCAACCGAATGACACTTCGAAGATCTAAAAGAGACCTTTGGGACACTCAAAAGATCCAATACGAGATTAAATCCCTTCAAGTGCACCTTCGGGCGTCGATCGAGAAATTTCTCGGCTTCTTATTGACTCCAGAAGGATTAAAAGCAATCCGGAAAGGTACAGGCGATCTTAAACATGCCACCCCCACGGAGAACCAAGGAAATTCAGAGACTGATCGATCATATTGCCGGGTTCAGCCGTTTCATCCTGAAGTCGTGCGATAAGTGTGCGGCTTTCTTTAAGACAGTAAGGAAAAATCAGCGTTTCGAATGGAAGAGAGAATGTGAGGAGGTGTTCAGAAATTTGAAAGATTCTTTAATGTCCCCACCACAACTCCCCAAGCCGAAGTTAGCAGAAGAGCTTTCACTGCACCTAGGAGTCCGATGAGAGGTTGTAAGCTCAGTTCTGATTCAAGAGGTGGGAAAACAACACCCAATCTACTACACAAGCCAAATGCTTCATGGGCCGAAACTAGGTACCCGATTATGGAAAAACTAATCTTCATTTTGATTATTTCTGCTCGCAGGCTTCGACCGTACTTCTAGATGCTTCTGATCTGAGTCATCACAGACCATTCATTGAAATCTGTACTCAAACAACTGGAGCACTTTGCTAAAAATGGACGGTGGATCTCAACGAATTCAAGATTACTTATGCTCCTCAGATGACAATCAAATTCCAAGCAATCGCAGACTTTCTGG